CACCAGGAGATCACACGTCGATCCTAAAGGAAGTCAACCCTGAGTGTTCATTGGAAGGACTCATGCTGAAGCTGAAACCCCAATCCTCTGGCCACCTGATACCAAGAGCCGACTCATGGGAAAAGACCCTGATGCTGGGAAAGATGGAGGGCAGGAGAATAAGGGGGCGACAGAAGATGGGATGGTTAGATAGCATCACTGACTCTACGGACATGACTGTGAGCAAACTCTGGGAGACAGTGGAGGATGGGGGAGCCTGGCGTACTGCCGTCCAGAGGGTCACAAAGAGTGGGACACAACTGAGGGACTGAAGAACAAGTGTGATAAGGTTTTTCAATAACCCCGGAAGGGTTAATGCATGTAATTTGTCCTCTGTTCTCTTGGGTTTCAGCTTGGAAGTGACCTCTGAGGATGGATAATGAGGTCAGCACTTTGCAGCCACATAGGGCCCACCCTCCGCCCCACGCCCCGACCCCGCAGTTCTCCGAGGTCAGCCTGAAGCCACAACCTGCCAGCCGCAGCAGGACCAGAGCGGTCAGTGGTGCTGGGGCGCCCTCTGGTGTCCACTTCTGGGACAGGCCCTAGAAACCTGCTTCCAAGGATCAGACAGACCGTGGCCGCTGGCATAAAAAGCACACGTCTCTTAACATGACGACAGGTATCTGTTCCATTAGCCGATATCCATAAGAGAGCCCCCTAGAGTTAGAGTTAGTGCCCCCCCCAGTTAGTCTCTGGTGCCGACTGGGTACAATCAGTCACTGCATCTTTGGGGTGATTTCTGAGGCTGAGTCCAAGTCAGGAGGAAAGATCCTGGCTGGCGATTACACCAGATGCCCCAAGCCCCAGAGACAAAGAGGACTGGAGGTCGGTGTGGGTCAAGACTCTTCAGAGAAGCAGGTCCAATAGGAGGCGTGCATGTGTATGTGGGCAGGGTTCCGCAGGGGATTTATTTTAAAGAATCCACTCAAGTGATTGGAGGGACTTGACACATCTGAGACGCAGAGGGTTGGCTGACCATCTGTGAAGTCAGTAACAGATGGTATTACAGTCTCGACTCTGAAACCTGCAGGGCAGTTTGGCAAGCTGGCCACTCGGGCAGGACGTCTGTCTTACAGCCTAGAGGCAGAATTCCTTCTTCCCCAGAAACCCTCACATTTTGCATCTTAGAACCCTCAACTGATGAGATGCAGCCCACCCACATTATGGAGGGCAACCTCTTTAATATCAGTGCTCATAGATGTGACTCACATCCACGACACAACTTCATGGGAACGTCTAGACTAGTGTTCGGCCAAACAACTGGGCACCAGAGCCCAGCCAAGAGGACACATGAAATTTACTATCACAGGTACCCTGAATCTTCCTTCCCTGTTTATAAAGGGCTGCTCATGTAACCTGTCAATTTATAAAGGGCTGCTCATGTAACCTGTCAATGACTTCGTGTACCCTTAGAAGAAGGCTTAGGCCATTAGATTCTCACTGGGGCCACTTTTGGGTCAGACTTCTTTGTTGGTTTTCTTTTTTTTTTCTTTTAATGGAAGTGTAGTTGATTTACAATGTTATGTTAATTTCTGCTATACGGCAAAGTGATTCAGTTATACTTACATATACATTCTTTCTCATATTCTTTTCCATTATGGTTTATCACAGGATACTGAATACACCTCCCCGTGCTCTAAGGTAGGATTGCTGTTTTTCCGTTCTAAATGTAGTAGTTTGCATCTGCTAATCCCAGACTCTCAGTCCGTCCTTCTCCCTCCCCCACCACCTGGCCTTGGAAACCAGGTGTCTGTGTCTCTGTGTCTATTTCTGTTTCACAGGTTCATCTGTGTCTTATTTTAGTTTCCACACATAAGCGGTAATCATATAGCATTTGTCTTTCTCTTTCTGACTTACTTTGCTGAGGTTTTGATAATCTCTAGGTCCATCCATGGAGCTGCAAATGGCATTATTTCATTCTTTTATATGGCTGGGTAATATTCCTCATTGGGACCACTTCTTAATAAACTATGGAATTAATAAGGTCGATGCTTGATTGTAGAACTTAGAAGCCTTGAAGAATTTAAGAACTCAACAAAAAAGTTCTTAGAGGTCCAAGACACATCTAGTGGGCATCTGGTTCATTCCCCTGAGCTTGGAAGTCTCATATTCACCATTTTTAAAGTCACAAGAGACTCCTCCCCAATGCCTGAGAAAGGGGAAGCAGGAGGAGGAATTACAGGAAAAATGGAAGGTAAAATCCAATATGCACTAATAGCTTAATAAGCAGGAATAAATTGATTTTTCCATTAGAAGCCAAAAGGCAACAAGCTAAATAGGCCTCCGCCTGCTATGGCCTGCACACATGGTGATGTGTGGATGCAATAAGGCTTAACTGGTTTTGCTGAGACGGCACAGAAGTAAAAAGGTACAGATCCCAACTGCTAGCCCTAATTAGAATCTCAGAGGAACACGATACCCGCTCCCACTGCTGTGTTCTAATCTTCTCGATCAAATCTGTGCACCCAGCCGTCCTGGTGAGTCCTCTGACAGCCCCCCCCCCGCCCCCGCCAGATCTGTACGATTAGGTCACCCTTGCACATGGCCACGGATGCCCAGCCTGGGCTGACGGGTCGTTGGGAGCCCGTAAGGACATCTCTGTTTACCTAGCTTTGTGTCTCCAACGCGGAGTCTCATTTCCTCCCTGAAGGCTTCCCCAGTGACTCCCGGTGGTGCAAGCAGTAAGTGAAGAACCTGCCTGCCAATGCTGGAGACCCGGTGTGATCCCTGGGTGGGGAAGATCCCCTTGAGAAGGAAATGGCAACCCACTCCAGCATTCGTGCCTGGAGAATCCCCATGGACAGAGGAGCATGGTGGGCTACGGTCCACAGGGTCACAAAGAGTCAGACACAACTGAAACAGCTTAGCACCCAGCAACCACTTGGTGCTCCCGTGATCTCCTGTCGTGTTGACCCCAGAGCCCTTGGCCCATAGCTGCCTCCAGCACTTATACACAACTTGTGTTATTTAGGATGTCTTGTGGACGCCTCGTCTCTGCATCAGAATTATGAATGTTTAGAACAGCAATATCTTACCGCCCATTATTTTGGTCAGCAAATGTTCCGTGAATGATGCTCCTTTATGAAGACATCTGTCGAACTTAGACACCATCACCGCAACAGCGATTGAGCAGATGGCATAATGAGCACTTCTACACATTACCTTATTTGATTCTCCCCGTGTCCCTATAACATATGTGGCTTGATTTCTCATGTTGTCAACAGGAAACTGAATCTCATGTCTTCAGTTGCGGATCCTGAAGCCCGCACAGAGCTCGTCCATCGGCTCCAGCCTTCTGAATCTGAATTCTGCTCTTTCACACCAAGCAGCAAGGACCCAATTTCCCCAGAGCTCTGGGTGGGTGGGGAGGGGTCAGCATGAAAATGGTAGCAGCTTCCATTATGTTTCGTAGATCTGGGAGTGACCAGATGTCAGCTAAGACGTGTGACCCCAGTCCTCCCCCTCAGTCTTGCTCTCCTTATCGCTCTGGGGAAAGGACATTTGTCACTTCTGACTTCTGTCCACTATCTCAAGAATACTGGTGTGGGTAGCCTATCCCTTCTCCAGCGGATCTTCCTGACCCAGCAATCTAACCAGGGCCTCCCATATTACAGGCAGAGTTTTTACCAATTGAGTCATCAGGGAAGCCCTTTCAAGAAGCTAACTGCCTCAATAAGAAATTTGTGGGGGGCGGGGTGGTTGATGATGTAATTTTATTTAATACTTTATTGATTATAACTGATTTACAATGTTGTGTTAGTTTCAGGGGTACAGCAAAGTGATTCAGTTACTCATATACATATATCCATTCTTTTTCAGATTCTTTTCTCATATAGGTCATCAGAGATATTGGGCAGAGTCCTTATTGCTTTTCTATTTTATGTACAGTAGCGTGTGTATGTGTGTTCATCCCAAACTCCTGATTTACCCCTCTCCTTTCCATCACGTTTCCAATTTGGTAACCATAATTAAAGCATTTGTCTTTCAAGTGAGTTATTTCTAGTTATAAAATTTAAAACTTGAATCCATCAAACTGTCATCCCAAAGTAGTGTTGGACACCTTAAGTTTACACACTGTTGTGAGTCACTGAAAGCAAAAGTTGTGTCTGGCTCTTTGTGACCCATGGACTGTAGCCCACCAGGCTCCTCTGTTCCTGGGGTTTTCCAGGTAAGAATACTGGAGAGGGTTGCCACTCCCTTCTCCAGGGGCTCTTCCTGACTCAGGGATCAAACCCGGGTCTCCCACGTTGCAGGCAGGCTCTTTACCATCTGAGCCAGCAGGGAAGTCCTGTTGTGTGTCATTACATCTCAATAAAGCTGGAAAAAAAAAAAGCAGGTAGCAAACGGGGGGTGGGGGTGGTTGTCAGCTGGGCTGTGTAGCAGAAGCCCTCTTGGGCGTCTCCTTGACTCACTGGCCCTGTCCTGGGGCACCCTGCCTCTCACATCCCCCACCCGCTGCCTGGCTAGAATGCAGGGTGCAATCCAAAGCCACAACCGCTCTGCACCTCCTGTCGTGACCGCCTGGTCAGGCCAATCGAGGCAAGTGCTCTGCCCCAGACCCCTGCAACAGTTAAGCCATCTTCCAGATGGTTTTGTCCCAGTGGGTAAAGAAGCTGCCTGCAGCGCAAGAGCCGCAGGAGACTCAGGTTCGGTCCCTGGGTCGGGAAGATCCCCTGGAGGAGGAAATGGCACCCCACTCCGGTATTCTTGCCTGGAGAATCCCATGGACAGAGGAGCCTGGCAAAGCTCCAGTCCATGAGGTCACAAAGATTTGGACACGACTGAGCACAGCACAGCCTACCTTCTGGATTTAACCAGGGCTCAGACTCGGGGAGAATCATCCAATGTATTAGCATGGACCCCAAGGAGTGGTGGCACTCGCTCTGCTAGGCCAGAGTTCCTCAACTTGAATGTGCACAGATCCAGTCAGTCCGAGCCCTGCCTGAGCCTCGAGCAGGGCCATGCGTCGTCTGGGGATGAGGTGTGTCCCCAAAACACATGTTGAAGTCCTATCTCCTGGCACCGGAGGATGTGACCCAATTTGAAAACAGGATGAAACTAAGATGAAAGGGACGATAAGCGGCTTCCCTGGTGGATCAGATGGTAAAGAGTCCGCCCGCAAAGTTGGAGACCTGGGTTTGATCCCTGAGTTGGGGAGATCCCCTGAAGGAAGGCGTGGCAACCCACTCCAGGATTCTTGCCTGGAGAATGCCATGGACAGAGGAGCCTGGTGGACGACATGGGGTCTCAAGGAGTCGGACACATCTCGGAAAAGGGTGGGCCTGAGTCCCACACGGCAGGCGTCCTTATAGAAGAGAAGAGGGGATTCTCTGGTGGGCCAGTGCTTAGGACTTGGCGCTTTCTCCACCCCAGGTTCAATCCCCGGTTGGGGAACTAAGATCCTGCAAGCCGTGAGGCACAGCCAAGAGAAGAAGAGGGGGAGAGACATGGGAGAAGGCCGTGGGAAGCCAGACCCCAGAGGGCAGGCGGCCATGGGGTGACGAGGCAGAGTTTGGAGTGATGCCTTTGCAACCAAGGAAGGCGGAGGACCCGGGGCCGCCTCCAGAAGCCAGAAGGGGAGCCTGGCCCTGCCGGCACCTTGACCTTGGACTTGCAGCCTCCAGAACGGAACAGCAGAGACGTCTTGTTTGAGCCGCTCAGTTTGTGATAGTCTGATGGCAGCAGGCCTAGCAGACTCATCCAGGAGCCTTGTTTTCATTTGTTTTGTTTGCTTTAAACAGCAGAGAGAGGACAGGGGGGATAAGGGAGAGATCGATAGCCTAAGATTAAAATGGAGGGTCTCCTAGGAACTCCTATCACCTCATTCCTACTCTCAACGGTCCAAATGAAATAATATTAGCTGTGTTGATGGAGTATTCAAGGCCAGCAAAGAGCATCCTCCAGAAAAGTGTCCTATGTCCTTAAGTTTAGATCAAAGAAAAGAAGCATAAAAACCCACTGGTGCACTTTTAAGCCACCGGCCTGACTCTTGGGAAATAGAACTTGATGTCAGCACGTGTGGCATCGCAGGGCGGGGGCGGCTCTGAACTCAGTTCAGGGCAGGAGGCTCAATTGTCCTTGACGTCATCGATCCTTCAACTCCGCTGTGGCAGAGATGGCTCATCACTGCCCAACATCTACCCTCCTGCTTTTTAATCATGAAACACTGATTCTTAGCTAGGCCACGGTCCCCCAGCCAGATGATTACATTTACCACCAAGCTCAAGAAAGTGTTGGATGGTGCTTCTGTATAGTACCCTGAAAAGGGGGTACTCCCTTTCTTGTCACCTTCTTCCTCCTGCTGATTGGAAAGCAGGTGTGTTAGCTGGAGCTCCAGCCACCACTTTGGGCTATGAGGCCCAGGGCCACACTCTAGGGACTGTGGGCCAGAACACTGGGAGAAGCACGTCCCAGGGGCGCTCAGGGAAATTGCAATGCCAGCCATGGACAGCCCACCTACAGGAAAAAAATAAAACCTTATATACTGAAACTACTTTGGATACTTGGTTTTTTGTCACAAGCAGTCAAACTAACTAGATCCTTTTATTTACAAATAAAAACTCCACTCTTTCACTAGACCAATAAATATATTGAGAGCAAAAAATAGGCTTCTACATGAAGTGTTTTAAACCAACCTCCTCTACTCCTGAAAAGCTTGTTTGTAGATAATTAGATTCATGAAATGGGAATATTTTCTTACTTGCCTGACAGGAATCATTACTCACCCTAAAGAAGTCATAGACCTACTACAACTAGCACAGTTTAAAATCTTTCTATTTTTTTCACTGCTATAACCCTTAGTACGTCTGATACTACAATCTAACAGTAAAATTGAGCCTCTGTCTTCAGCTCACCCAGGCAGTTTCTGCTTGTATCTTAGTCACTGGATAACATTTCCATTTCTAAAATGGTTAGAAGAATCTGATCCTATTAAAATACAATTGAACCAGATTTGAAACTAGCATATCTGTCTCTTCTGACAAGGGGGACAGTGTGTGTGCTGGGGCTGGGGGCGGCTTTCCAGCTTTTTCCTTCCCATATGATGGTTTTCCTTGCTCTTTCAGTTCTCTCCTTGTTCAGCCTCTTCCCACCTACTGCTTCCGGAGAGAAACTCAATTTGCTTTCATTTCAACTGCTTCAGAGCCAGAGTTCAGATGCGGAGACAAAGGACATAAATCACCATGTTTAGGATCAGACTGGGGAGGAAGCCAGGCAGAAAAAGAGCTGGGGTCTGAGGAAGCCTGAAGTGAACCGGGCAATTCAGCTGCCTTCTCCAGCAGAGCCACTTGCCCGAGAGGACGCGTCTCCCACATGGTCTCGCAGCTGGCGTTCCCCAGGGGACCAGGTCTGCCTGGGCAGAAGTCAGCATGGGGAGGAGCAGCCCCGCCCCAAGACATCATCTCCGGCAGCACAGGCGCGCAGGCCTGTCTTTCTTTTTCGGCTGGTAGCAGAAGGAGGTGCGGTGGGCCAGTGGTTCGCCACTTCCGGCTGGCTTCCGGGTGTTTCTCCTCTTGACTGTGCGCTGGTCCTCCCGGGTTTTCTGAAGCCGTCAGCCCTCTTGTTCTTTTAGAATCTAACTCGGTACAGTCATTATTTTATAATAATTTTAAGTGGAGCATGAAAGAGAGTCATGAAAGTATTAGCTGTGTCTGACTCTTTGCGACCCCATGGACTGTAGCCCGCCAGGCTCCTCTGTCCATGGAATTCTTCAGGTAAACCTGAGTGGGCTGCCATTCCCTTCTCCAGGGGATCTTACCCACCCAGAGACTGAACCTGGGTCTCCTGCGTTACAGGCGGACTCTGTACCATCTGAACCACCAGGGAAGGCCCTATACTAAATTCTATACTAAACCTATATATTGGATTGGCAAAAAAATTAGTTCGGGTTTTTCCATAAGATCATAAGGAAAAACCCAAATGAACTTTTTGGCCAATCCATTATTATTCTTCAAGCGTTCTGCCGCTGAATATTCTTTAAATTCAAAAGTCTCAAGAGCAGAAGCAAGTTTTGATGCAAGTGTTTCTTAAAATCCTCTCCCAACCTAATTCTGCTGAAATAACTTATTGTGTTTTCATTGTATCCTGTCTGGAGATAAACCACATGCTTTGCAAACAGGAAATTAGAATAATCTGTTCTGAAGGACAACCTCAATTTGGCAAAACCCATGGCTCAGAGGGTAAAGAATCTGTCTGCAATGCAGAAAACACTGGAGATGCAGGATCAATCCCTGGGTCAGGAAGATCCTCTGGAGGAGGAAATGGTGACCCATTCCAGTTTCTGGCCTAAAAAAATCCAATGGACAGAGGAGCCTGGTGGGCTACAGTCCAAAGGGTCGCAAAGAGTCAGACACGACTGAGCAACTAAGTGCGCACACACGCACACACAAAAAATTTACTAATAGAAGACTCTTTATGGGGGAGAAAAAGACAATCTTGTGGAAGTAAAAGGTAGATAGATATTGTTTGAATTGATCAATAGTTTATAGACGCTCTTGCCTGAAATCCGTGGACATGGTAGCCCTTGCTATCCTGAGCTTGCTTTAGTTCATGGACAATCTCCCTTTGGAAGCGTTCAGTTCAGTTCAGTCGCTCAGTCGTGTCTGACTCTTTGCGAGCCCATGGACTGCAGCACACCAGGCCTCCCTGTCCATCACCAACTCCCGGAGCTTGCTCAAATTCATGTCCGTTGAGTCGGTGATGCCATCCAACCACCTCATCCTCTGTCTACATCCCCTGGGCCCCCGCCAAGTGTACTGAATACATGATATTCATGATGCATCCTCGCAAATGTTTTAATTCTTCACTTGCTTTTGTCTGACACAAACACAAGCTTAAGCTGGGTAATCATTTGTGCTTAACTACGAGAATGAGATTTGGCAGAGAAACAAACCGGATCAATCAATAGGAGTGTCCCTGTCCCAGGGCTGAGCCACAAGCCACACGTCTGCCCCCGCGCTCGAGTTCCCCCCTAAAGCCTGAACTCGAGGATCCCCCAGCTACACGGAAGGGAGGAGGGCGGGCCCTGGCAGGCTGCTCTAGTTGACTGTTCAAGTGTGAAAGTTTAATGGAGGCCGTCAAGGGCTCAGGACGTGTTTTTGGCACATGGTGTGTCTTTTGTCCTATGCTTTACAGAAGACTCATGAATCAGTAAACAGCACGGCCAGGCCCGGTGGCAGACTCACCCCGGGCGGTCTCGCACCTGCTCCCCGGTGGGGGGGGAAAGCAGCCTGGTGATACCAGGCATCCTTACAAAGGACTAGGAGGAAGTCAGGGCATTGTAACGGCGTGCTCTCCCTCCCAGGAGGGATTCCGCCTCCGTGGACCCCTGCAAGGTGGGTGGGCCACGCTGCATCCTGTTGCATCTCCGCCCTCCTGCACACGGCTGCTTCCCCAGATGTTGGTGGTCCTTTGGACGCCTCTTCCTGGGAAACTGGCGGCTGCATGATCACAGGGGACTCCACACTCAGCCTGAACAGCTTGCTCCTGCCATCCTGAATTCTGAATCATTTTCACACAGGGGCCTGTGTTCTGATTTTCCGCAGTGGTCCTGCCACCACTTAACGAAGGGCCTGGTGACGAGGCACAGTGTTCCGTGTGCGGAGAAGTTTCTTCACGAGGCCCTGTCCTCAAACAAAGCCCCGGGGAGTAGGTTGAGGAGCAGCAAAGTCCATGGCCCAAAATGAACTTGAGAACATAGATTGCCAACTGCTTCCTGGAGAAGTGAGGCCTCAGCTGGGCCATCCACACCTGAAAAAGTCTGGGAACTCAGGCTGGGCCGTCAGCGGTAGAGGCAGCACTTTCTCCCCTGAACCTGGACACCCGGTCCCTTAATGAGACATGCTGTTCCTCTTTCCGCATGCCGATCCTTGCAGTCCTGCAGACCGAGGGCTTCTGGTCACATTTCTAACAGCTCTTCTATCCCAGGAACTGTGCTGAGCTCTTTCCTTTCCACGTATTCCCTCTTTTAATCCTAAAGCACATGAGGTCTGCCTCACCACCCTCCTCTTACAAGTGGGGAAACTGCCTGGGTAACGTGGCAGAGCTGCCCACGGAGACCCCAGGAGCATAGCAGACACCCAGCAGCCCCAAGGAACCCTAGGCTCACGTGTTCAGGGGTCTCATTATGCATTAAAAGGCCTCCCCACATACCCGTATGTCATCATCTTAACCTCCAGTACCTCGGAACATGATCTTATTGGGGAATAAGCAGTTTTTTGTTTTTCCCCTTTTTTTTGGCTCACCAGCATGCAGGGTGTTAGTTTCCCAACCCGGGATCGAATGCATGCCCCCTGCAGTGGAAGCACACAGTCCCAACCACCAGACTGCCTGGGAAGTTCCAGGAGATAAGTAGCTCTGATGATGTAACTCTGTGATGAGGTCGTGTTGGAGCAGGGCGGGCCCTTCACCTGAGATGACTGGCATCCTTATAAACAGGGGGAAGGTGGGCCCCGACAGGCCCAGAGGGAGAAGGCCATGGAGACCAGGCATCCTGCTGCTCCCAGCCTGGCCCTGCCAACACCGTGATCTTGGACCCTCGGTCTCCAGACAGTACGACAGTGCGTTTCTGCGGCTTTCAGCACCCCTGCTTGCGGTCCTGTGTTAGCACAGCCCCGGGAAGTGGACGCAGGTCTCCCCAACTGTCTTCGGGGTTTCACTGTGCCATCACAAGACCCCAGAGAGTCAGGGAGCGCATCATCACCACCCCCAAGGCCACCGGCGGCCAAGGGGCGGGCGATGTCGTGGGCCACAGAGCACGGCTGGAGCAGGGCAGGGACCAGCCCTCTGGCACAGCAGCTACATCTGGGGGTCTTTGTGCCATCGCCGACGGCTTCCACGGGAAAATGCAGTCGGTGGTAGACACGCTTCAGAGGTTTCATTGACTGAAAGCGATAGCAGCACGCAGAGCAACATGGCCTCAGGATTGGGCGGCCAGTGTTCATGCTCTGGAGAGGGGAAACATGTAGACTGGACCACCCACACATTAATCAAAATTTCACCTTCCCGTTGAAAAACTAAACATACGCTCTGATGGCCATCAGACCGTATGTGACAGCCTGCCTCAGACCCACAACCTGCAGCACGTGAAACAAAATTCATCTTTTATGGCAAGACAAGAACAATCTAAATATAAACATTCTTCTCTGCCCTTTGACCTCGCCCCTCCCCCCACCACCTGACCTCTGTGCACCTGTATAAGCATTACATATGGATCAAACCTCTCCCTTCGGCAGAAACCGGCTCAGCCTAAAAGAGCAACCCTGGGACTTCCCTGGTGGTCCAGTGGCTAAGACTCCACACTCTTAATGCAAGGGCCTGGGTTCCATCCCTGAGCAGAAACCTCGATCCCACACACCACAACTGGAAAGATCCTGGGCACCGCAACCAAGACTTAGCACAACCAAAACAACAATAACGAAAGCCCAGGACAAAAAGAGCAACATTCTCCCAGCATCAGCAAGACAACTCCTTAAAGGTAGCATTCCTCCTTCATCCTATAAGGGATTCCCTGGTAGCTCAGATGGTAAAGAGTCTGCCTGCAACGTGGGAGACCCAAGTTCGACCCATGGGTTGGGAAGATCCCCTGGAGAAGGAAATGGCAACCCACTCCAGTATTCTTGCCTGGAAAATGCCATGGATGGAGGCGCCTGGCAGGCTACAGTCCCTGGAGTCGCAAAGAGTTGGACACGACTGAGTTGTACACAACTGAGAGAATTCACTTTCACTGTTTTGATTTTGTAAAGTGGCCACATGACCCACCCTGATGGTGCTCAAGTCTGGATTATGTAAACTGTCAATAATACATTGTTTGATATACAGCCCTCTATCTCAAAAAACTTCTATAAACTGTGTCTTGACTTCTAAAGGGTGGAACAGTTCTCAGAGCTTTCTGAGATGCACTTCCCAGGTTATACTCTTCAAATATGGCTTGAATAAAATGTTCCAACCCTCCCTTAGATCGACTGATTCATTTTTCATCATGTGTTAGCCCAGGAGGACAAACCTCAGGGGCAGCTTGTGGCTGTGTGGTTTAGTCGCTAAGTTATGTCTGACTCTTCAACCCTGTGGACTGTAGCCCACCAGGCTCCTTTGTCCGTGAGATTTCCCAGGCAAGAATACTGGAGTGGGTTGCCATTCCCTTCTCCAGGGGAGCTTCTCGATCCAGAAATTGAACCCAGGCCTCCTACATTGCAGGCAGATTCTTTACTGTCTGAGCCACCAGCTTAGCAACCAGCTCCAAATGGCTAGGACTCCATCGATAACAGACAGCTTCCCTAATCTCTGCGCTCACTTCCAACTTAAGACCAACTGGGGAAAGCCTAATACACTCCTCTAACAAGCCACGCAGGGAAGTCAGCTGCCCCAGGTCCCCCACACCCACAGCCTCCACAGAGGCACCCGAGGGACCCGGACCCCCTTCTCCACGATGGAGCTGCCCCGCCAAGCACAGAGGATGGTGGCGACCCCCAAGCTCCCACAGCTCTGAGTAGGCAGCCTCTTACTTGGGTCTTCATTTATTTCCATATAACAAAGTTTTGTCTTCTGTACTACCAATTATTTTTCCCCAAACTAAAAGGAAAGCAGTTTCCATCTTTAATTTTCCTTTACTTTCTCCAGAAGTAAAACTACATTCTCATGAAGTAAAACAGCCGGAGGGCAGGGTGGGGGGACAATCAGAGACGCCCCCCCCCCCCCCCCCGCACCTCGCCATATAACAGGAAGAGCCTACGTAATGGAGAACTGATCACGCTCTCCAAAGTCCTGAATCAAGGAAACATCTACAAGTAAATGACCTTTAGAAACTCCTTGCACTAACCACAAACTCGATGCCCACTACAACTATTAAATTGAAAAAAAATTATTAACTTCTTTAAGAATATCCACCCCCTCGCCCCCCACAAAAAGAATATTCTCAAAGCACACAACTGTGACTAGAGATTAAAATAAGGAAAACCGGGACTCCCCTGGTGGTCCAGTGGTTAAGAATCCACCCACCAATGCAGGGAACATGGGTTCGATCCCAGTCCAGGAACGAGGATTCCACATGCCTTGGGGAAACCAAGCCCCACAACTACAGAAGCCCGCACACCCTGGAGCCCATGCTCCCCAAAAACAGAAGCCACCCCAGTGAGAAGCCCTGGCAGTGCAGCTAGAGAGTCGCCCCTGCTCTGGGCAACGAGAGAAAGCCCACAGGCAGCAAGGGAGACCCAGGAGCCAAAAGTCAAATAAATTTTTTAAATAAACAAAAAATAAAGAAAACTGGCGATTCCTCACGTGAGAACAAAAGACAAGTGAGCACAGCATCGCATCGCTCTTATTCTTAATCCTACTCATAAAAGGAGTTTGTTTTCCCTAAAAACCAGAAACTACTGTTGTGGTGAGCACCACGCAGTCGATCCCCAGGCAGTTAGCACGGCAGGAGCCACTAACGCCTCTAGGTCCTTTCCCTCCAGGAGTTTTGCTCATATTTGAAAGCAAATTCCAATAAATAGAAATCACGTCCTCACGGGAAAACTGCACAAACGCAGCCCGAAGAGGGTAACACCCTGCACATGTGCGTCCTCTCAGATAGAAGCGTGAGAAATGAAAATCTACAGGAAGGAAGGCCAAACAGCCCACTCTGTGAGTTACAGTCTTTCTGCAAAATACCCTCTGTAACTTTCATTTTCCTTAATGTTTTTTATCACCAATGACCATCAGAAGCACAATTTTCATTTCTCTTCAGTTCATAATGAAATAAACATCATGATCCCCAAGTTAAAAAAAAAATCCTTTTTAGAAACCTCAATTTCTCTCACCAAGGCTACCAAGAGCGAGAGGAGAGATGCCCCCCATGGACAGCGCCCTCTGAACACAGGTCTCCCAGGGGATCCCAGGAGGATGGGTTCCCCAGACTCTGTCCTCTGGACCAGTGGCGCTCAGAGGCGTTCCTGTTTCAGGGATAGACACCGAACGGAACGCAGCAAACGGTATCCTGCTCAGAAGGACACCACGCATCCCAGCATGTTAAATGCTCTCATCTCCTGGGTCGGGAAGACCCCCTGGAGAAGGGAACGGCTACCCACTCCAGTATTCTGGCCCGGAGAATTCCATGGACTGTAGAGTCCATGGGGTCACAAAGAGTCGGACATGACCGAGCGACTTTCACACTTCCGCTGAGTAAAGAAACAGGCTTGGGCTTTTTGCTTTTTGCTTTGTCTGTGCTGGGTCTTCGTTGCTGCACACACAGGCTTTCTCCAGTTGCCGTGAGCGGCGGCTACTTTTCACTGTGGTGTGTGGGCTGCTCATCCCGTGGCTTCTATTGCTGCGGAGCACGGGCTGATGGTCATGGTGCACTGGCTTACTTTCCCCGTGGCACGTGGGATCTTCCCAGACCAGGGATCGAACCTATATCCCCTGCACTGGCCAGCGGGTTCTTAACCACTGGACCGTGAGGGAAGTCCAAAAGATGCTTTCTAGAAAGAAAGAAGGAAGGAAAAAAAAGAAAGGAACATGCCTTCTTTAACACAAGGCTTCCTAAATATACTTGAGCTTGGACTTGTTTTTCATCTCTCTGTTATAACAAGCACCTCCGGAAGCCACAGGTCACTTATGAAAAGTCCTGAGTAGTTTCTGTTGGTCTCCACGGGGTTTCTGGTTCAGGTCCCACATGATCCAGTAAGTCTGACACTGTACGGTGGACACAGGCAGGAATTTTGATCACATCTATCACTTCTCATCCTGTGTTAACCAGAGGATCTGGCGGTGTGGAGGGTAGGGAGAGATGAGCTGGTTGGTCTAAAGGTCTGTCACTCTGCCATCCCCACAAATCCATCTCTGATGCTGGGGACAGAACTCCCAAGTCCACTGACCATTCTATTCATGCTGGCAACAAGCCTTCCCCGGATAAGGAACAGAATAGGTATAATTCCAGTATTTACAGCCCAAGGCTTCCTACAGCAATCCACTGGAATGGTAGAGCTTAAAATTTAAGAAAAAAAACATGTGCTCAAAAATGTACACCTCGTTACGTGAGTGTGTCAGTGATGTTTTCACTGGAGTGTAATTGCTTTACAATGCTGTGTTCTTTTCTGCTGTACAACGAAGCAAACCAGCCATATTTATACATGTGCATTCCCTCCCTCTGGACCTCCTCCCCACCCACCACCCATCCCACACCTCGAGATCATCCCCGACCACCAAGCTGAGCTCCCTGCGCTTTATAGCAGCTTCCTGCTCAGGTCAGTCACTCAGTTGTGTCTGACTCTTTACGACCCCATGGACGGCAGCATGCCAGGCTTCCCTGTCCATCACCAACTCCCAGAGCTTGCTCAAACTCATGTCCATTGAGTCGGTGATGCCATCCAACCATCTCATCCTCTGTCATCCCCTTTTCACACAAGCTATCTATAAACAAAACTCTGAAAAACTATCCCAGGGTGTGGTTATTGAGTCCTATCGACATCATTATTCCATTTTCATGAAGCTAACTTCCTAACATGACATTGTGAATCAGGGCACCTACTTACCTATGCCATGAATCTAACAACATCTCAGGGCATTGACACAACTATCTTAGTAGACCCATTACTCAGACGCTTAGAAATCACCACCAAATCACGGAGGGCGCGCCCTCCTGGAAAGATTACTGCTCATAACTGCTCACCACAAGAGCCACCAGCTCTTTAAAAGTTACTCAACTGTAAATCAACCCAGATGTGAAGGGCGTATTACCGGAAAATTCATAATACTATTCATCTTTGCAGCAGGGACATTTAAGTTACATATACTATTGTAATAGCATTCTTAAACTGTAATTCAGAGCTCTGTAATGATATCAGGCAATAATGTTCTGATTACCTACAAAGTTTAATTTGTCATAGACATAAGAGCTAATGGATAA